CCCTCACACTCAGCGACGGGTTGGCCCAAACCTGTTGGTTGATGGAACAGCTGCAATATCACATAGTGAGGGTGCACGCTACGCCGTAGTCCTCCACAACCACTCAGATACAGATCTCTGGCCGTATTTGGCATATATGGACTCCAATGGAGTTGATATTCAGTTACTCTATCACCCTCAGCCATCGTACCCTATACCCCCATTGCGGAAGCGCAGCAATCTTGACATAGGCTGCACGGGTAGTGGTATCGCTCCTCTGAATTTCCCTTTCCCTGTCGACCAGCAGCAAGAATCTGCTTTCTTAAAGCTCTTCGTCTCTACCTCGTACACCTCGATGGGTTTATTAGAGCAGAGCTCTTCGGCGTATAGCCGATCGCCCACACCCGTCCCGCCTCCTACACCCATGGTGGAATCCAAAGATCAACCGCAAAACTGGGACACTGCACTCGTGTATGTCATTATGAGAAGAGCGAGGGCAAAGAGCTGAGTATGAACCGTAACCCTTTCATTGTCGATCATGGATGGAAAAGTTATCGGAGTGCGCTTCAAGTTGGTATGCAGTATTTAGGTCGTTTATTGATTTTTATAGTGATACAGCTATCTATGGTTTCATGTAGTGGTGAATAAGGAATTTTTGATGAAGGGACAAAGCTGAATGCTAGCGCTGAGCAGCCGATTACTTACGGTGAAGACGCGTGGAATCGTTGTACACATCAGCGTTTATGTTCTCTTGCTGCAGTATAGAGCAGGGTAGTCATAATCTGACGGTGGAATCTGCACTGGGTGACCGGGTCACGGTGGGATTCGACTGCAATTAAGTGCGCGGGAGAACAAGATGAATGCGAAGTACATTTGCAGGGTTCAAGTTTTTGGGGGAGGACGCAATGCGAAACATAGGAAGAGCCAAGCGAGAGTCCGTGAAAGGAGAAGAAATGGAAATAGCTGGTAAAATTGACTTGATGTGTGTTAGACTTCAGTAATCGAGTTGAATACGTTGAACCGGAGCAAAATCGATCCAAAAAGCGAACGATGGCCCCCCTAAAAGCGAGGGTGCACAGTAGGCTGTAATGCATCGTACGGTCGCTCGCTGCATTCCAACACGTTTTTATAGTACTAGTCTGTGAGCGCGCGACTGATTCCCTAAGTGCATACAGGACACACCTGATTCGAAGAAACTGGTCATCATCGAGTGCAAAGCGGGCTGGGATGCAGATGAAGTCCGTAAACTGTTGGACTGGATACTTCTCCATAAAGACGGCGCCGAGAACTGCTAGCCAAAATCCGATGTGAAATTGAGCCAAGTTCCGCGTGCTACGTGATGAACATCAGTGAGAGTAATGTGCATTAGAGTGCTGAAAATGATTGCACTTCACGAGTTGCACTGTGTACAAAGAAGAATGACGTCTGGACCGAAAAGTTTGAAGTTTGAACCTTCATTCTCCTCCTCAACTACAACGAGGTGTATTGGAATATGGTTATGAGGATAGAAGGCTACAGCATCGGGAATACCGTGATATTTGCCATCACTGGCCAATGATTGGCACCTGATTTGATTTGTTGCTCTGCTTGGCGAGTCTAGCTAGACACCATTGGCATAAACCCCGCAGAACGCCAAGCCAAGCCAATTCTATCATCAGGTCGCCAGTATTATTGATCAATGGTACCTGGTAGATCTACCTGGGGAGTGTGTTAGCATTCTGAAGTAGATCGGCTCTCAACAGGGTGGGAAATGCAAGTCCCCGAACGCATCAATTACATACCTGGGCAGCACTCCAGCCACTACCCCCGCAACGTAACCGTAACAACTCGAATTCTGCTTCGAAGCCCGGCAACATACATCAATTTGGCTTCGTGTCCTACCATGTCACTGCTCGGCTCGGCCCGGTCGGGCGAACTTCGGTTCGGACCAGAATGTATCCGAACCGGACCGTGGGTTCGGTCCGAGGTTCGGGGTTCGGACCCTTTCGAACCGACTGAGATATTTTTACTTCTGTATATGATCCTCGATGTCCTTATTGTTACTAATAATACTTTGATTTGATCTTCTGGTGACTTGAACGAGCATGGCCATTGTCAGTCCTGGCTACATTGATCTCAGGACAATGAATAGTGACTTTTACTTGACAACTGAAACACTCAATGTATATCCATTGAACACATCCAACTGTCTCATTGATCTCCTCAATATTACGGCATCCAGCTCCTTTGAGCATTAATTAACTGTACCAGTAATTGCATGGCAACAGTATGTTCAAGGTGTGTCATTTTTTGATATCATGTTATAAATTTCTGTATAAATGAGGTACTCTAGGTTACACATTCACCCTTCCTGCTGTGAGCATGTCATGCACACTTGGATCTGATGGTCAACTCAAAGACACTAGTACCATTGACTGGTACAACAATCCTGACGATGACTCACCCATGCTCCCTCCACCTCCGCCTCTGCCTCCTGCACCCAATGTGTCTTGTCACTCAGGCCGAGCCATCAAACTGACAGAGAAAATATATGATGCTGTCAACACAGCTCCAGTCAAACGATTGACTCCAGCACCTCCCCAAGGATAGCCTGCACCCAAGTGAGTGCAAACACCCCCTGCACTAGAAGATTGTTCAGATGACTCAGATGAAGAGGCTGGGGACAACAACAAGAGGAAAATTACGAAAGAACCAAGGTGTTTGGAGACGAGGATCATGAGAACTGCAAACATAAGAAGAAAGAGGAGTGCAGCGGGGATTCGAAGGTAGTATTTACTCAGGAGAAGGGTCACATCAATCTGCACACCCAAGAATGTGAAGATGGCTGGTGGTGTGAGATATGCAGATACATTTTAACTTTAAACATTCAATACACACATAACTAATGTCAATTCAAGAGCCAATGGTGTACCCTCCAATCAATGCTTTTTAAAGGCAGTGTTTCGACTTGCCACACCCATATCGCTTGTAATGCCAAGTGTCACTTTCTAATATACCATGACCACTGCAATGAACAAGGCATCAAGATGCACGATTGGGCGATACCTTATAACTGCAAAGCAACTGATGGAGCACAGCAAACCTTAGATGCCTCTCTTACAGCTAAAATTCCTGAATTCACCAAGTCCAGTCTAATGGATCACATTGTTGAGCTGATCGTGTCTGAGGACGAGGTGAGTGATTTTTTCATGTAATCACAACTTAGGATGTTCATGCCATAGATAGGCATTCCAACTTGTCGACAAAGGACTGTTTTGTTGGCTGCTTCAATACCTCTGGCGCTCCCTTTCAGACAGAGATATTCCTCATCACACAAAAGCTCGTGATGAAATTCTTCAATGGGCGCAGCTTGCCGTCAAACATGTCAAGGAGAAGCTTAAGCATGTCGATGGCAAGATTTCAATCACATTTGACTCATGGACATCTGAACCTAGTGTACCTTTCCTCTCCATCACAGCACATTATATCGACTCCCCAGCTAGAAAACCTCAAGAGTGGGAATTAAAGACCGAGCAGCTTGCATTTACCATCATCAACAGCAATCACAGCAGGAGCAATATTGGAGGAATCCTCATCAAAAATATCAATAACTGTGGCATTCATACCAAGGTCAGATGGTTTACGGCTGACAATGCCACCAATAACGACATGGCAATTCAGACTGTAGCACTTGCTATTGACCCTTCCAGCAAGAAATGGATTGCTTCTGAGCACTATGTATGGTAAGTAATCTGTTTAATATTGTGATCTATCTATGTTGATGCTGGTCTATTCAGCTGTATGGAGCATCCCTTACATTTAGCTGCCAAACATTTTGTTGAGGAGGTAGCTCCTACACCACTAAGCGTGCTTCTCAAGAACATGGCCGATGAAGATGACAATGACAAAGTGACTGATTTCAATGTTGCTGACACCACAGGAAAAGCCCTCGCATTTGTTACATAGGTAAGTGTGTGTACCCTCATCTGACTAACTCTATTCAATGAACCCTTTATCTAAATACAGAAATTTTCCCAAGCACGTACCTTCTTCCAAAAGTGCTGTGTTGAGGTCAACCGAGCCAATGCTTGACCTTTTGAAGTGGATTTGCACCTGATGGGCCTCACTCTTTGGCATGTTGGAGCACACACTTAAGCTGTGCAAAGTCAGTTGGTTTCTATTACTGTCCCTGAACAATACAGTCATTGACCATCATTTGAGTTCAAAATTTTTGGATGTCTACCACAACACAACCTGACACAATGTCAAAAATTGCTTTCAGGGATGTCACAATAGATAGCTAATCTACTTTGAACAAAATTTTGAAGAACATCAAATGAGATGTTATTCCGCAATGAAAAGTGTGTAAATCTTGGTGTTATCGTACGTTCACCATCATTTGAGTTCACCCAAAAAGGCAGATTTATTCCCTAGTTGCGCAGATTAATCTTCTTCCTCATCAATGTGGGCAAGTGCCAGCTTTGGGAGTGGGGCCTCAAGTCTCCGAAGCTTCGGTTTGACATGTGTCATGTGTTGTCTCTCCAACTTTGCCTTTGCTCACTCTTCCTCCCTATCAGGAAATCTACAGATTACTTAATGATGACTTAATGATGGCTGAGAATGTTCTTGCAATGGACCAAGAGCAAATAAGCTAGAAATCATTAAGAAGAGCATTTCTTGAATAAATTAGATCCAAATTCTTAATGTTCAGCTTAAAGGTTTTTTGAAGCGCTACTTGCAAAAAATGATCCATTGATTCTCAGTATGATCCAAAGTAGCGGTTAAGAGGAATTACCAAGGGTATTAAAATGAGTGCAGGGCAAAAAAAAGCAGGGGAAGAATAACATTGATCATCCAGCGCAAGTTGTGGCCTTCATGTATTGCTGAGCTTGTTCAATTATGATTTTCATCTTGTCAGCGGGAACACGGTTGATGGCAGTCATGAACATTCGAGTGTCATACCCCCAGAGCAGCTCCAAAAAAATTTCATTCTCATCGATGATGGCGATCCATTCAGTTTCTCCAGCTGATGCCTTCCTCTTTCACGAAGGCTTCTTCATGCCCTTAGATGTGGTATTCTTTGTTTCAAAAGTCATCTCTTTACTTGCGAGAAGATGAAGGGCTCGTTTAACCTGCTGAATGTCAGAAGAATGTGTGAATTCAATAGAAGAATAAATACCGCCGCTGCAGCAAGGGAAAGTGCACTTCGGAGAACTGGCTCCTTGCTGTTAAGCTCCGGAACAGGCACACATCCTTGGGTGTAGTTGAGGTGTGCCGCAAAAGTCTGCAGGACGAACATTGACTGCCACATTCCTGACCATTCCTAAATAAACATAGATGTTGTCATCAGCAAAAATTACACCCAATGACAGCACATACCTTCTTGTTGTCAGATTCAACGTCCCAAAGAGAAATCTGTTGTCTGCCAGTCAAAATTTTGCAAAACCAACATGGCTATCCTCAGCTTCATAGAGCAGGTCAGCCACCATGAGACTTGTGATCATCATGATGGCAGCAGAACCAAATCCACCACACCATTCACTCAAGTGTTGCTTAGCCTACATTAAATAAGAGCGTCAGATACAAAAACACTGTATCAGTGAGACTTACCATGTAATAGACAGTGTCTCCTGGGACAATAGAGTGATCAATGAGCATGGGCTTTCCTGCGTAGATGACTTTCCAAGCCTTTGTGAGGATCAGAATAAGTGCATCATCCTCAATGAGCCATGGATGGACATCATCCCCACCGGCGGCGTGAGCGATAGTAGGAATCAGTAAGCCACACCATGCATTTCCATCCTGGCAACCAGTGGGAAGATCACTGTTCTTGTACTTCACCCTCAAGACTTCTTTGCTCATCTTCTCCGTGGCAGTTGCTTTCTTCTCCAAGGCATCCATCATCTCCTTCTTGACACACTTCTTCGGTGGGACATCCACATCATCAAATACTTCAACATTGGTCTGTAGAATAGTTAGTAGATATAACTGCAGACCAATTTGAGTCACCTTGCATACCTTTGATGTCACCTGTTTACTTCCCATAGCAGCAGGGCTTGCCTTAACACTGTCAACAACAATGACATCTCCTGATTCCATTTTGTCGTCACCCATGTCAGCATCCCCTTCGATGGATGAAGAGAAGGAGTGAGCAGACTGATATTGTGAAGGTGGAGGTGGGGTCAGTGAACCATTGCAAATGTCAACCACATCCTGTAGTAAGTAGTTAACAAAGGGAACCCCCGAAAAAAAACACAAACCATTGCTCCTAATACAGTATACAAACTACTTGGCTGTTTCTTCACACTCGCGAGGGCATGTGCCACTAAGTGTTCAGGCTCACCATCCTCATCTAGCAGAGATCCTACTACCTGGGCATCATCGCATCCAATCTCAGAGCTTTTGGGAGTCGCTGGGGCGGCAGTAGCACTGCTAAATGTTGTTACTTTGGTGAGTTGTGTAGGTCCTGGGATGCCCGATACACTGGTTGGATGATTTTTGCTCCTCGGCAAGTGAGACAATGTGCTGCTCGTCTTTGGATTCTGAACTCTGTGTGCCCACACTGAGACTGTGCCCCTATAAGTGCTCTTCAAGTCACTAGTCAAATTATTCAGCAAATTCCAGTAAAAAAGTGTGGGCTCAATTAGCAGCAACATCGTGGTAGAAGAGCAAGGTATGTATGTTGATGTATTCCCTTTTGGGCCAGAATCTGATACACATAAACTCAATGCCACCGTGATCCCATCAGTAACATTGTTATTGTTATCAGCATTAGCTGGTACTGCGGTGCCACAAACAGCCTCAACCGCATCATGGTGAGTTGTCTTCTGCACTTGTTTCTGCTTTTTCTGCATGTTTGCCTCACTACCATCACCCACCTCATCCAGAACCTCTTCCGCTGCTGCCTTTGCTGCAGCACCTCTTTTCAGTCCTGTGGCTGCCATATCCATGGTAATGGTTGCAGCGGCAGCCTTGCCAACAGGACAAGGACATGGTTTTCTTGCGGCGCTTACATTTTGCTCCTGGATGGCAAGTTTATCCTGGACAGCTGCAACTTTGGCAATGCCCTTGTGGGTCCTTGCCTCCTGGTCTTCCTTTTCTCTTTGGAGACAAGCATTGTCCTCTTGTACCTGGGCCAAGGTTCGTCTTTTTTGCTGTGCATCTATGACAACCTGAGTGACTTTTTTTGAAGCATTGGATGGATGTGTAGAGACCATGATCAGTGGCAGGAGTAAAGAAGAAAGCTGGTGAGCAGAGAGATGGACTCTTGGGCAGATGGGCGGAGGCAAAGAAGCAGTGAAGAAAGTTTGTTTTATGCTGATTTTAGACTATACGCCGTGTGAGCCCACTATTATGTACTTTGCTATATACTGACCCTTAGCTCACTTTAGTACCAGTCAGAACTTGATGCTGGCTACTAGTTCTCCCACACACCAAGTCCTCAAACTCATTTCACTGTGTGTCCTTGTCCTTGTGAGTACTTACATGCGTAGTTCTTATGTTGACATCTCATATGCTTGTAGGCAGTTTTGCTCACATCCTCGTATCCTGCATTATTTGGCGCTGTGTTCTTCTCGCTTTGGTTCACAATTTTACTCATTTTTACAGGTTATTCACTAAAATTTGAACTATAGTCATACTCAGTTTCTGACTTCCACACCAATGAAACAAGGATGCAAGACTTTCAATGTCAACTTGATACCTTGTCCGCACACTGGCTGCAACTGCTATTTCAAGAATCATTCAGGTCTCACACAGCACTGTCATGCAGTGCATGGTTTTTCGTTTAAGTTGCCTGAAAATGCACTCCAACACACTGAAAACATGCCCTCAAACACTGGAGAGACATTCATGCACAATGGCGAACCCAATTCAAATGATGGGGAGCCACTGCCCTCAAACACCAACTTCCAGATGGACCATGACAGTTTCCCAACAAACAGCAATGGTACTGTGGGTGACAATACAGCCCCAGATGTCAGTGGGGATGTGAATGAAGTCTACCGTGACTATCACCTTGAGCTTGATGGTATGTAGCTCAATTTTTATTTATTAATGACAATAATACATAGTCCTAATGCTCTCGAGCCGGTCATATTTGCAATGCAGCAGGCAATTTCATTCCCGCAGATACCATACCCCCTCCCTCAACATCAAAACAATCAGACGACTGGACACCTTACCATAGCCAAATGGAGTTCAAAACAGCAAATTTTTTGTACAACAAGGTCCAGATGTCTGCTGGTAACATCGATAAATTGATGCATTTGTGGGGCCTCAGTCTCACACAACACAAAGATGCCCCTCCTTTTGCAGACCATCAGGACCTATATTTGACTATCGATAAAACACTGATTGGAGATGTCACTTGGCAAAGTTTTTCAATGCAATACACTGCTGATGTGGATCCCACTAGCAATCCCACACCATGGATGAACGCAACATACACTACATGGTTCCGTGACCCACGTGCTATCATCCGCAACATGTTGGGCAATCCTGACTTCAAAAATGAGATGGATTATGCGCCATATTGTGAGTGGAAAGGCCAGGGTGATAGTGCAACTCGCCAATGGCACAATGTGATGTCGGGTGATTGGGCCTGGGACCAAATGGTTAGTTCGATGCTATGAACACTATTCCTTTCACTGACACTTTGTCAGGATGAGATTGCCAAAGATACGACCACACATGGATCAACATTTGTCCCAGTCATTCTCGGAAGCGACAAAATGACTGTCTCGGTGGCAACAGGACAAAATGACTACTATCCTCTGTATGCCTCGATCAGAAACATTCATAACAATGTCCAACGTGCTCACTGTAATGCTGTAGCCGTCATTGGCTTTTTGGCTATTCCAAAAAGTACAGATTTACTTTCTCTATGCTTCTCAATACTAACAAAGTCTTGTAGCGAACAAAAAAGCATTCAGATGATCCAAATTTCCAAAAATTCAAGAAGCAATTATTTCATTCTTCACTGTCAAGGATCTTATCATCGCTCAAGCCTGCTATGTCTGTCCCTGAGGTTGTTCAATTTGGGGATGGGCATTTTAGATGTGTAGTGTATGGTCTTGGTCCCTACATTGCTGATTATCCCAAACAACTTGTCCTCGGTTGTGTCGTTCAAAATTGGTGCGCAAAGTAAGTATTTTATTTATGTACCTAGTGTCTACTATGCTAACAGTAATACATTAGATGCTTCGCTTATCCTGACAATTTAGATAGCGGTGAGGGTGGGCTTCGTTCACGGGAAGTTGTAGATACCCTTTGTGATGAAGTTGACTCTGGAGTACTCTGGGATGAATGGGGAGTTATCAGCGATATAGTAGAGTGGAGTATTTCTACTGTTCAATAGTATCATTTTAACATATGTTCAGCCTTTCACCAATGACTTCCCTCATGCTGACATTCACCAGCTTCTTGCACTGGACATCCTGCATCAAGTCATCAAGGGAGCTTTTGAAGACCACCTCATGTTACGACTTGGATGGTATCTGTTGGCAACGCTCAAACAGAGCGTGTGTCGTCAACGGTCGAGGACGTCCTTGGGCTAGCCCAAGGTTAGGGGTCTTACTTGGCGAGGCTTCAGCAAGTAAGATTTGACGCCTATGTCCAAATCGGGTAGCTTATGTCAAGCGGATGCTAGACAATGAGCTGGATCTGCCAAGGCTTACGACACCCAAAGGTTAATCATAAGATCATCGTTAATTAGAAGGACGGAAGTCCGACTAGTTAACAGGGGCTTTGCTTTGTCGACGAAGTCGATAAGCAAAGATCGAGACTAAAGACTTATCCGCAATGAGCAGATAAGAAGATAGAATATAGACTGCTGGCTAGGCAGAAGGAATCTCTTCGATGTTCACTGTGACACGACTAACAGATAAATTTTGTATTACTAGAATACTGGGGGGGGGGGGAATGGAATGTGTTTGGATAGGTTCTGATATGGAGATAGCTTTTGGGCGAGGGCGCGCAGCGCTTTCTGGCCCCGAGGAGTGCACCTAAGAGAAAAGGGAGGTGAGCTGCGATTCCCAGATGTTTAGGAGTTCGTCGACACATCCAGCGAAACTCGTGGTTGTCTCGGATACCCCCGTTTTAGGAGACGGACGTGGAACACTCACAATGGTTTGCCTTTCGATCATTGCCAATGCTTAGCCCCCGTGAACTGGGGGTAAGGTGTAGCGGAGAAACTGGTCCTGTAAGGATGGGACAGCTTGCATGTAGGGCGCTAGGATTTGAGCGTGACGGCGAAGGTACTTGAGAAAAGTGTCGCTTGCCCAACGACCTTTGACTTTAATGACATCGAAAGGAATATTTCGAAGGAGGTATTCGAGGGTGGAACCTATGCGGATTCCATGTCCTTGTAATGGTTCCCGCCCTGCTGCTCTGGTTGCTGACGCTAATCTTTGCGTGAGTTTTGTTTTCGTTAGTGGTCTGTATGAGTCCTTGTGGCAATATGAAAACAGTGCGCTGTCGATGGGAGGGTCGTTAATGGCCATGTGGTTCAGAAAAGCTGCCTCTGGGTCTGAATGTCCTGATTGCTTGGCCCAGTGCACATCCTCTCCTTCTAACGAAGTTTTCGTGCAGGGCAAATGGAAATTCTTGGTAAGGAGGTTTTGTCGGTCGCGGACATCTGTCACGTTGGCAGGAGTTATGTGCAGGGTGGGGTTGAAAGCGTCTAGGCGTGGGACTGTGAATTCTCCCGCCCTCGCTGTAGCATAAAATGCGGTGGTGAGGCACGCAAAGACGGCGGCATCCACGGGGTTTGATAGATTGAGTTGCTCTCGAATGGCTATGATGAGTTCTATTGTGTACGGTTCACGTTTGCTGCGTCTGGCTGTCGCGGGGGTCATGGATAAGCTCGCTTTGAGGAGGGTGTTGATTTCCATGTCGTTTAGTTTCCACGCTACGCCGTGCAAGACATGCCACGTGCGGACGCCGTAGACATAGTTCGATATAGTCTTGCCGGAATAATGACCTGCCATGCAGGATATGAATGAGGAAATCAGGATGTGACTTGCGGGGGCTCTCTGGTCCTCTGGGATGCTTTTGCTGTCGCAGAAAACATGGAAGATGAGCAGCCCCGATCCATACGATTCGCGTGTTCCCTCCGCGTATCCGTGGATCATGACTTCTCGAATGCGCTCGATGTCGGAGGGGGTTAGAGGTAAGACCTGTCCCTGCGCGTCTCTTATTGAGCGCGGGGATGTGGGCTGCCACAGGTATAGCCTGTCCTTAGCTGGGCAATGCAGACGTAGTGGTGATGGCATTGGGCTTATGTCGCTGTTATAGGAAGGTTTGTGACGCTTGGAGGAGTTCCTCCCCTCTTCGTTCGAGTTCGCGATTGACAAGTGCACGGCGTTTGTACTCGTTGTCTCCGAGTTTTTCGACCATTGTCGGAAACGGTTGGTACATGCTGGGTGCGCTAGCCCCGTGGAAGGTGCGGTGATTGAGTTCGTTGGTGGGTATGTTGGAAATGAACACTTGCAATTCCCTTGGGATTGGGATTTGGGGGAGCATGTCAGATGCGGGGGGATATATTCCCCGTGACGGGCCGTCAGCGGGGTTATCTTTACTCGGGACGTATCGAGTAAGGATTGTACACTTGGCATTGGCAGCGAGCGTGTGGATCCGCTTGAAGACTTCATTGCAAGCTCGACTTCTACTGCACCCCTTCCACCATCCTTCAACAATGCCTCTGTTGTCGCCATAGACTTTGAAATGAGTTCCGGGGGGAGCAACCGCGATGGTGGTCCGAACGAGGAGCTTGAACCCAACGCTCTCTGCCCAGCCGATGTCGCGCCCATCCCTTTTCCAACCAGGTACGAGTTTCCACGCTCGCCATCTCCCGCTGATGACGATTCCGATTCCGTGACCAGAGCTAGCGTCCGAATAGGCAAGGGGGTCATGGAGGATGCAGGGTCCTGGTATTGGGCAGGCGATAAGGCTGGGACTGAGGGTTGTTTTCCACCACTCAATGTCTTCTGGGGTGCTACGAGGGGGGGTTCGTGGTGTGTGCGGGCGGTCTTCAAATATGCCCAGCATGCTTTCCAAGCTGGTGAGGTAAGCTCGTCCCATTGGGACCACGAGGCAGGCGTGCAACAACTTGCCGTGCAGTTTTTGTACCTCATGGAGGGTGTGAGTCCGCTTGGATTGCCACACGGCGATAGCCTTGAGGTATTTCATCTGCTTGTGGCTTGATAATGCCACGGTACGTTTGGTAAGGTCCCAAACGAGTCCGGTGAAAAGTGGCTCGCTGCTGAAAGGGTGGTCTTTCGATATTTTCCATATGATCCCCAGTAGATAAGAATAAAAATCAATGTCGTCGAAGCAGTATGAGAACTGAGCATCCTCGAATGACCGTGGGGATCGTGAGGATAAATCTTGAAGGGGGAACAGCATGTCTTCATCGAATTCTTCGACACTGCCATCTGGTCTGGTGGCCCCCTTATACCATATGCGGCCTCCATCAGTGATGGGCCCTCCGTTCTTCTTGATTTCATTTGCGGCACGTACTGTTACGACTTGGATGGAATCTGTTGGCGACGCTCAAACAGAGCTTGTGTCGTCAACGGTCTGTGGACGTCCTTGGGCTAGCCCAAGGTTAGGGGTCGTACTTGGCGTGTCTTCGGCAAGTACGATTTGACGCCTATGTCCAAATCGGGTAGCTTATGTCACGCGCGTGCGAGACGATAAGCTATATCGGCCTAGGCTTTACGACACCCGAAGGTTAATCGTAAGGATCGTCGTTAATTAGAAGGACAGAAGTCCGACTAGTTAACAGGGGCTTTGCTCGTCGACGAAGTCGATGAGTAAAGGTCGAGACTATAGGCTTATCCGCGAAGAGCAGATAAGAAGATAGAATATAGACTGCTGGCGAAGCAGAAGGATCACTCTGGTGAGAGTAGGAGGTCAAGAACCAAGTAGATTCAAGTTAGGGAATATGGTACATGGTAGCGAGTTTATATAGAGGACAGGGGACGTATTAGTGGATGATAACTCATACTACCGGGAGAGGCAATTGGTAAAGGGTAAGACCATAATAGGAAGGCACGTTCGATCTAGGTAGAACGTGCTGGATAAGAAAGTGAGTCAAAGATCAGAATGAGAAGTGAAACACGCAGGGGCACGATCGTGCAACTGCGGATCTAAGTATAAGTCGCATGTGCGACTGCGCACCGAGTCAGAGATCAAGAAAGGAAAATAGGGCAAAGGGGATGCATCATGCATCGTGTCATAGGTTACCGTCCAGACGGTAAGGGTCAGGGGACTGTCCGCAGGATCAGTCAGGTGGTGAAACGGAGCATGGGTATGCTTCGTCAGCGAAAGGATCCGGCCAAATGTACTGGCTTTGCTGAAGTGACAGGTAGAGGGCGAAAGGGAATGCGAGGATGACGAGGATGACAAGGGTAAGGTCGGGGTAAGGGTATGATGCGAGGGCTGATACGAGGAGGATCAGGAGAAAAATAGTAGGTGCCCAAGCGTCTAGATGTTCTTGTAACACGTACGCGATGTCTATTGTATTCTTCCAGGTACTCTTTCCTAATACGTAAAAACAGGTGGTCATCGACCCATTTTGAAATGGGTCCGATGCCCTTGCCTCGTAGGATGTCAGATCCTGCATCGGCCACATTTCCGTAAATTCCTGCGGAGGGGCCGAATCCAAAGCACAGGGCTGTATCGATTGCAAATGTGTCGTCCCCCGGTAAGCGTATGGCCAGGCCAGGCCACTGCGAGTGGTGGAGAGGAATTGTTCTGTATGCCTCTGCCACGTCTCGCACGGCTCCTTGCGAGCCGGGAGGTAGGCTCCAGATTGCTTGGCAAATGGTGGGAAAAGTTCTGTATGTACATGGGAATAAGTCGGAGTCGACTCTGGAATTAATTGATCTAATGGAAGGTAATGGGCGAATCGGGAAAAAGAGGTTTTGAACCAGGCGGAATTCGCCTGGTTTGCCTGGTTTGGGAACCAGGGACAAGGGGGCTGTCTGGAATTCGCCGCCGACGGACTTAAGTTCTTCAGCGCTAAAAGGGCCGATGAAACGACCTTTGGAAAATTCACATTCCACAATGTTCCAGAACGCAGCCACGTTCTCGTTAATGGTGGGGCTATTGGCGGGGGCATATGTACATGTAATTGGAGGGATTCCTCCGGAAAAACCGCTGACCATGCATCTAGGTATAGATGGGTATCTACTAAGGAGGTTTGTCTCTTTGAGGAGACGTTGCCACTTGCTGGCCTTGTACGGGGTGCACGCCTCATGCTTTCTCGACTCGAGAACATTTCTGCGCGCCGTGGTCTTTGCCTCCACAACCTGAGCATTTGTGGGATGATTCGTGGTTTCAGGCTGCGCAGCTCTCGGGGCGCTGCCATTTGTAGCAGAGTGGGAGACCTTGAGGGTTGACAATTCGACTGTCTTGCGTTCGACGGCAATGGGTGTTGGATCCGTCCCAGAGGTTGCTGGCGTTGCAGTGACGAATGTCGTGTGCGAAGCGGCCCAAACAGACAGCGCAGGCTGAATGGCCACGTGAGCCTGCGCCACGAGAAAAACCCTCTCGACGGTTCTTGTCGCGGGTGTTGTCTGGTGAGGATGATCTGCCCTTCTGGGCTTCTCCCCTGCGGATGGGCGAATGTGAACGTGAGTTACGGTTCCGTTGGTTGTTGCCTCGCATGTCGCGATAGCTCGACTTCCGGAAGCTGCTCTGGTAGGCGGGTGCATCTTTGTTCGAAGGCTGTGTGATGGACAGGTGCGTCGTCCACGTGAGCATGTGTGCAGGCGTCCGTGGGATTGACGTCGCAGGCATCCGCGTGAGCATGTGTGCGGGCGTCCGCGGGATTAACGTCACAGGCATCCGCGGGAGTGACATCGCAGGCATCCACATACGTGGGTTGTAGGTGAGTACGAGAACATTGTATGGGTAAAGAGGGTTATATGGTTAGTTGATGCTTTGGATGAGGGGGGTGCGAAACGCACCATGGCCAGGGTTCGGGATCGTACTTTATCCCATAATTCTTCGCTAATTGTGCGTAGAAGGGTCTCGTTCAGGTTTCCGATGTTGAAGCCTTCGTCTCGCTTTAAACAGTCATGCCAGTCGTGACGTACCCTCGAGGCGTAGTTGAGGATCACCATGTCTCCGATGTCGCTGTGGTTGCGAACCGCGTGGTTTTCGAGGCACCAGTAGAAAAGCGAGAGAGCGTCGATGTGGGTTTGGGGCCACTTGGCCTGGCTGATTTGCACGAGGAACATGTTCTTCGCTCGTAGGAAAACCAAGAACGGCAGGTCGTGATCTGCTAGTGCTGCCTTCGAGGCTTGAAGGCTGACACTGGACGAATGGTGAGCTGGTCGTCCACCTTGGTTAGACCGTAGTCGTCCGCGACGGATCTCGAAGTCTTGAGGGCTTCCTTGCATCCGTCAGGGGAGAAGTACCACAACTCTACGTATTCAAAGTTAGTGAGCTTTTGAACTGCGTATTGGGAGGGACGGGGAGCCAGGAAGTCTCCTACTGTTGAGGCTTCCTTGAATCCGTTCATTTTCGGTTTCTTCTTCTCTGCCTCTGCGCGCTCCCTCTGCGCTTCCGCCTCCTGTAGGGCGTGCTCTGCTTCTTCTTGCGCTACGCGAGCTCTCTCAGCGTTGGCGACTGCAAGTGCCTCGTTCTCTTGCTGTTGTTCCCATGCGAGTACTCTCTCTTTGTGTCCTGCGTTCCAGGTGTCTACTAAACGGTCTATGACTTCTTGCTCTGTTTGACCTGTGGCTGCTATTAAGTCGGTGCATATGCCGGCGTAAAGTGCGCCCGCGAATTCTGGGCATGTTTCGGTTGTTGGGTCAACCATGATAGATAATGTGTGGGTATGGGGTGAATTGGTTTTGTTTAAAGGTTCTTAGGTGTGGTTTTTGTTCTTAGAAAAAAGAAATACGAGGAGGAGAGTGAACTACACAGCGACGAACGATGGTCGCAGCACGGGAACAAGAAGCGGTGCCGTGCCTTCCGTTCGATCGAAGACCTTACTCTATTCTTTCTCTCGTGCCTCGTTACATAATAGAGTCCCAAACTCTGGTGAGAGTAGGAGGTCAAGAACCAAGTAGATTCAAGTTAAGGAATATGGTACATGGTAGCGAGTTTATATAGAGGACAGGAAGCGTATTAGTGGGTGATAACTCGTACTACCAGAAGAGGGAACTGGTAAAGGGTAAGACCATAAAAGGAAGGCACGTTCGGGGCGATACACGAATGATCCTGAACGTGCAGATAAGAAAGTGAGTCAGAGGTCAAAATAAGAAGTGAAACGCACAGGGGCGCGACCGTGCAACTGCGGAGCTAAATATAAGTAACATGTGCGACTGCGCACCAAGTCATAGATCTAGAAAGGGAACTGGACATAGGGGACGCAGCATGCATCGTATCATAGATTACCGTCCAGACGGTAAGGGGACTGTCCACAGGATCAGTCAGTAGGTGGAACGGATCATGGGTATGCTTCGTCATCAAAAGGATCCGGCCAGATGTACTGGCTCTGCTGCAGCGACAGGTAGAGGGCGAAGGGGAATGCGAGGATGACCAGTATGACGAGAGTGAGGTCGGGATAAGGGTGTGATGCTAGGGCTGATACTAGGAGGATAAGGAGAAAAATGGTAGGGGCCCAAGCATCAAGGTGTTCTTGTAACACCTCATGGCATGGGTCGAGAAGTACCTCGAAAAAGAGCATGGAAAGACTCGTGCAAAGGCAATTTTGGATGATATTTATCATTGGTGAGTTTTAGTGTTTTTTTTGAATTTTAATTTCTTATCTCTCATGCAGAATTGCTGCAGCTCTGCCTTTCGCAGGACTTCGTCGATTTCCACAAGGATGTGGATTCTCTCAATGGACAGGCGACGACTCCAAGGCCCTCATGAAAGTTTATCTCTCTGCAATCGAGGAACATGTCCCCCAAGATATTATCCGGTGTTTTTGGGCCTTCCTCAAATTTTGTTACATTGTGCGACAAGACATCATCACAGAGGACACCCTTGTACAGCTTTCTGACTGTCTTGAACACTTTCATCGTTATCAGCAAATTTTTCAAGATACTGGTATTCGATTCGATGGATTCTCACTGCCACATCAGCATGCACTGTGTCATTATTCGATGCTCATCTGTTTGTTTGGTGTTCCGAATGGAATATGCTCCTCAATAACCGAATCCAAACACATCAAGGCTGTCAAGGAGCCAATGTTCCCCTCAGTGCATGTCCAAGGTTTGAGGGCTGTATTAAAATATTTAACTCGGCCACAGCCAGTTTTTATGCACCAAGTGACCCAAGTGGTGTTGGTGGAATGCAGTGTGAATACATTCGTGCGGCACCATCATGGCGTCAAGGCCCCACACATAACAACACTGTCTTTGTCAATACTGCCAGCAAGGATGGGATCAATGGGATGGAAGTCTGTTGTGTCTTGTGTTTCTTTTCATTCCAGCACAGTCAAAAGACGTTCCCCTACGCCCTCGTCCACTGGTTCAAGCTGTTACAAGAACATCTTGATGCTTGGGCCCCTACTATTTTTCTCCTGATCCTCCTCGTATCAGCCCTCACATCACACCCTTACCCCGACCTTACTCTCGTCATACTGGTCATCCTCGCATTCCCCTTCGCCCTCTACCTGTCGCTGCAGCAGAGCCAGTACATCTGGCCGGATCCTTTTGCTGACGAAGCATACCCATGCTCCGTTCCACCTCCTGACTGATCCTGTGGACAGTCCCCTTACCATCTGGATGGTAACCTATGATACGACGCATGCCGCGTCCCCTATGCCCAGTTCCCTTTCTAGATCTATGACTTGGTGCGCAGTCGCACATGTTACTTATATTTAGCTCCGCAGCTGCACGGTTGTGCCCCTGCACGTTTCACTTCTTATTTCGATCTTTGACTCACTTTCTTATCTGCACGTTCAGGATCACCCGTGTATCACCTCGAACGTGCCTTCCTTTTATGGTCTTACCCTTCACCGGTTCCCTCTTCTGGTAGTACGAGTTATCACCCACTAATATGCTTCCTGTCCTCTATATAAACTTGCTACCATGTACCATATTCCTTAACTTGAATCTACTTGGTTCTTGACCTCCTACTCTCACCAGAGTGATCCTTTCTGCCTAGCCAGCAGTCTATATTCTATCCTCTTATCTGCTCATCGCGGATAAGTCTTTAGTCTCGATCTTTACTCATCGACTTCGTCAACGAGCAAAGCCCCTGTTAACTAGTCGGACTTCCGTCCTTCTAATTAACGACGATCTTACGATTAACCTTCAGGTGTCGTAAGCCTTGGCCGATATAACTTATTGTCTAGCACCTGCTTGACATAAGCTACCCGATTTGGACATAGGTGTCAAATCTTACTTGCTGAAGCCTCGCCAAGTAAGACCCCTAACCTTGGGCTAGCCCATGGACGTCCTCGACCGTTGACGACACACGCTCTGTTTGAGCGTCGCCAACAGATACCATCCAAGTTGTAACACAAGCTCATTGCAAATGAGCCAAATTCAGACACCGGCATGTGGATGGTACGACCTTCTTTCCATGCAGACTCAAGTCGAGAGCTCTCTATCATTCATGTTGATTCCATCATTCGTGCATGTCACCTCTTGCCAATTTTTGACTCTGATTTTGCTCTGGAGAACCTTACTCTTCACAATGCTTTAGACATATGGCCCAATTTCTATGTTAATAGATTTGTAGATCATCACACATTTGAAATAGCATATTGAGCTCCAATTTTTGTCACACCTTTGTGTCTTAGCAGCTCCTTAATGACAATGTGATGACGATCCTTGCTGTTACGACTTGGATGGTATCTGTTGGCGACGCTCAAACAGAGCGTGTGTCGTCAACGGTCGAGGACATCCTTGGGCTAGCCCAAGGTTAGGGGTCTTACTTGGCGAGGCTTCGGCAAGTAAGATTTGACGCCTATGTCCAAATCAGGTAGCTTATGTCAAGCGGGTGCGAGACGATAAGCTATATCGGCCAAGGCTTACGACACCCGAAGATTAATCGCAAGATCGTTGTTAATTAGAAGGACAGAAGTCCGACTAGTTAACAGGGGCTTTGCTCGTCAACGAAGTCGATGAGTAAAGATCGAGACTATGGGCTTATCCGTGAAGAGCAGATAAGAAGATAGAATATAGACTGCTGGCGAGGCAGAAAGGATCACTCTGGTGAGAGTAGGAGGTCAAGAACCAAGTAGATTCAAGTTAGGGAATATATTACATGGTAGCGAGTTTATATAGAGGACAGGAAGCGTATTAGTGGGTGATAACTCGTACTACCAAGAGAAGTAATCGGTAAAGGGTATGACCATAAAAGGAAGGCACGTTCGAGGTGAGACACGGGTGAGTCCTGAATGTGCGGATAAGAAAGTGAGTCAAAGATCAGAATAAGAAGTGAAACGCGCAGGGGCACAATCGTGCAACTGCGGAGTTAAGTATAGGTCGCATGTGCGACTGCGCACCGAGTCAGAGATCAAGACAGGGAAAAGGGCAAAGGGGATGCGTCATGCATCATATCATAGGTTACCGTCCGGACGGTAAGGGCAAGGGGACTGTCCACAGGATCAGTCAGGTGGTGGAACGGAGCAAGGGTATGCTTCGTCAGCGAACGGATCCGGCCAAATGTACTGGCTCTGCTGAAGCGACAGGTAGAGAGCGAAAGGGAATGCAAGGATGACAAGGATGACAAGGGTGAGGTCGGGGTAAGGGTATGATGCGAGGGCTGATACCAGAAGGATGAGGAGAAAAATGGTAGGGGCCCAAGCGTCTAGATGTTCTTGTAACACTTGCAAGGACATCAAGTCTGCATCAAGCAAAATTGATGTTCTTACATTTAGCTTAGTCCTCTTAGTCTACTTAATACGAACCTCCGATATTTTAAGGAACATTAAGTAACATGTAGATTTCCTGATGCCACTACCTCAACTCCTCCTTATATTCTTGCCTGCGCACTTCATTTCTCTCCAGCCACTTTGCATCCTCCTCTTTCCATGCTTTCATCAAACTCGCTCACTCATCTCTCTCTTGCTGACAGCTTTCTGTGCATGCTTGGCCATCTCGAGGGGTGAGTAAAGGTCGATGGACTGAACAGCAGACTCATGGATTGCCACTGTGTTACTACTGTACTTGACAGACATGCATGAAGTACACCTGTATTGAAGCTCAACACAATGATCCTCAATCATGTTCGTGTTTATTGGATCTCACTTATTTTGCTTCGGTGATGCTGATAAGATACTATTGAGAAACTCTGCACTGGCAACATTCTGGCAACACACACACTCATCAGCTCCCTTGCGGAATAGAACAGTGATGTGCTTGAAGGTTGTTTGCAGGTATTTCTTCAATTTACAAATACAATGGTAGTTGTTTTGCTTTCAGGGACACATAATAGTGAAAATTTCGCAACAAAACATACCATCGCACATTTGTTCGAGGTCTTTTATACTTATCATTACTGCCAATATGTAGTTAAGTTATCATGAGTTTGTGCTGGTCAGCAAACTTGACTTATCCTCACAGCGTCACACGTCAGTCACATCACGTGAGGTGGGCTGTTTTCTACCTTAACCAATAACCTCCTGCATCTCGGCGCCATATTTACTTCAGTGAAATCTATATGACATATTAAATGTTTTCGAATGGTTGCACGGAGTGTCCGGAGGCCAAGCCCCGACGCTACGGCGTAGAGAGCGCAGATGAAAACGTCCAGGCACGCAAGCGCGGGAACTTACCACCTCATTCGCATTCTATGGGTGTCCTGGCCTCAGACTGGTAACAAAAGCGTTAAGTAATAATTGGTGACGCTCAGGCCAGACGAGCGGATCAGAAGGCATGAGAGGCCAGGCCAGGGTTCGAGTGGTATTGTTAAAAGAAACCGAGTATTACGATGTCACCAAAGAAAGGGAAACCAATACTCAGTAATGATGTTTTGTCGGCGGATTGGCGCTATAGAAGCACTTACCTTACTAGGAAGGTTCTGAGAAGTAGAAGGCTCGGAATACGGTAGAGCACCTCTGGCTCCCCTTTGCAGTGCTCCATTTCCTTCCGGTGCAAAGTTAAGTATGACATTGACATCCTGTGAGTTTGAATCTAATCAATCTCAATCACAACAGCAACGAATTTCACTCCTTTATGTTTGTTTGGGGTGCTGGATTTTGCACAAATGCTTGTCTATCAGGTTCGCAAGCTCGCACACTTTCATCCTCGAACATCATGACTATAGTCTTAAATGATCCCAGTACATGGCCATGGATCGGTTTCGATCGTTTTTACAGCTATTGTATAGGTTTGTGGATGTCCAGTCGGCTGATGTCCCAATCTAACTCCGAGTCGTGCCGTGGTTTCGTAGTTGCCGCCTCTGCTGGGGTGATGTACGATTGGGGTGAGCAACCTAGTATGAGAAACCCAAGATACTGAGTGCTACTCACCGTATTTTTAGTATTGACTTTCGAACAAGAGGTACGTTCATATTCATGACCAGAGCAAAAATCTCACTAAGAATGGGTCCATAGGTGGAACTGATCTGGGTGAGCAAAGTGCCGCACTAGAAGAGCAGTTTGAAAATATAATCAATTCGCAACAGAGGCAACGCTGGTCCCCTATAACCGTTTTGTTTCTCAGTGTATGTGCCTTGTATTAAAATCGTTTGTCGGCAAGGTCGTGCTGACATGAAAATATCCTAGGTGCGCTATCTTGGAATATCATATGCTGTGTAAGTTTCATCGACTGTGTGATTGGTGTCGTGCTCATCAACCTTGTTTCATAATCAGCGCTAGCATGTTTAGTATGTCTCCTCATAGTACATCGCGTTTGTTTCGAAGTTCTGACAGGCTACATGCAGTGTATGTTCCGACGGTCCCAACGACAGATACAGTAAGTATTTCACAATGATGCATGCCATTCCCGTCTAATCACCTGCACTCCCATATAGGGGTAAGTGAGATTCTTGACCATCTTGTTGGTTCAAAATAATGACTGTCACAGCTGTGAGTTAGTTCGAGTGTTTGACCCCCTGATGCTAACCGCCGACATTGCTTACTGGATTTGTCAGGCTTTATTTTGGTCATTTTAATGAATTGGATTGATATCGTCGCAAATGCATTGCTGGGCGGTGAGTAAATACCTTGGTGATCTCGAGGTAACTGAAACTTTATGCAAGTGATCATGCTCATTCGCCTATACGCCATGTATGGACGATCCAGAAAAGTGTTGATACCTCTTGCTGTCTTCTTGGTTGCTGGCAACATGTTCATCGGAGTGGCTGTGGCAACAACAATAGCAATGAGGGATTTTTCACAGGGTGTGTCTAATTGTGGCTCAAAGACTTCAGTGCATCAGGCTCATTAACAAATACCAGAGGAGCTCATTCTTTCCGGTACTCATCAATGCACAGGACATTTCAATGGTTATTACTTACATCTGGATTCCGTATCTTGGATATTCGGCACTTCATGGGAGGTCATCGCACTGTTTCTCGCAGTTTGGATCGCTGTACTACACTTCTGTGAACTGCGACAGCGTTCTGGAGACGGAATTATGAACGACTGCTTCACGGTGTTGATAAAAACTCACCTGGTCTACTTTGCGAGGTGAGCTCATAGGTGAACGCGCGTCCCTTTTTCTGCTGACGTTCCGGCCGTGCTAGCGTCGTTGGTGTTTCATGCCTCGGTCTCGGTGATAATTTTTCGAAAGCTTTAGTGGTATGCCGATCTGTTATTGACCTCTGGATGCGAACACGGTTCATCATTCATACAGAATGAATATTCCCTGGGGACACAGATATATCAGGGGCTTTTTGTGATGTTCCGTTTTGTGCAGATGTTCGTGTTAGGACCACGCCTGGTCCTTGGCGTTCGAGAATATCATGCCAAGCTCCTGAATGACTCCAATACAGCAACCGGCATGACTTCAATTGCTTTCCAGGAGCCCGTGCATATTTCAACCAGGAGTAGTGTGTAACGGGAGAATCTAATTTCAATTCGAAGTTTCGTTGTGGTATTTATCTGAAGTATTATTAGTCTCTTGTATGTAGACTATGTAAACAATAGGAAGATGTAGTCGTTTGGTCGTCTCGAACTGGTAATCGTGCATGAATACTGCTTAAATCAGGAAGACGCCGTGTAAGCCTGACAGCTTACTACGCATTGCAGTAATGCTCATTGCTGATTGGGTACCGCGCCCTGTTGTCAGCTATTTGGTACGATGACGGCTCATCCCTATATATATCATGTCTGTTACTCACTTTTATACCGCCGTGACAATCATACGCCTGTCTACGTTATAGTCTGTCTGTTAGTGTTCGCCGTCTACGTGACGGTGTTTCCACGCCCCCGTTTTTGGCACTCGTTCCTTTACACCTATAGATATAAACCCCACAGAACGCCAGGCCAAACCTCCCAATGCGGCGGATTATGATATACTGCAACTGCGAGGTTCGCTAATTTTGTCGATCAATATCGTTTGTTCTGGTCGTCGATAGATATACATGGGAGACAGAAGATTTTAGCGAATGCGGAATCAATTAACATTCCCGCTTCCGTTTCCCCTTCGCACTACTTGGCCAAGAAAGTACGAGATCCTTCGATCTCTTCGGGGTGCTTTGTGCTTCAGTCTGAGCTTCCATAATGACATTTCTGCTCAGACAAAAGTCAATATGTGCATTGAGCCCTTTGTTGTCAGTCTCCAACAGCTTTCCGCATATAGGGCAGTCCTGATGCCGAACACGATCCCCTTGTCTAGCGCTCATTGGCTTTGACGTGGTTGCCGAGAACGGTGAATCGCTTGGCATAGTCCGTGAGGGTCCTGGAGCTGACACTGGTGGTCGTGTTCGTCGTTCATGATGTGGAGGATTTGAATTATGAGAGATGTGAGTCTGGTCCTCATCATCAAGAGCATCGAAACCCCGTCCTTCTACGTGTTCTTCTTCTTCATAGAACCCTGGCATTGAGTCATGATCTTCTCCAGCGTTATGTTCCTCGTCGTTGCAATCGTCCGCATTGCTAGCTAGTCTCGGTCTCTTTCTTGGCGATGAATTCGCAGGTTCAAAGAACTGGAACAGTCCAGAATCTGATTCTAACGATAGATATAATAAAGCATACCCGCTTAATCCCTCCTGCTGGCTCCGGAGCATGCAGGTCTTTCAGCTTGGTGACTCGCAAGCCAATTAGTCGGAGTGTGAGAGGCAACTCAGGGAGTAATAATTCTTTTCCGATCTGATTTATCTCGAAGTGAGCCTTATAGATGGGGTTCTCGGTCCTTCACTCACTGCAAAAAGGTCTTCCTTCTTCGAGCTGACCCAACGGTCAAATGACTTTGCTCGTGTAAAGACTATGAAACGTGAGCAAGAAATGATATGTCTAAATGTGACGCAATGACTTACCTTGGAATGTGTCCAACTTGAACTTGAGGGTCACCGTTTTCCCAGTCCAGCCCTCTCTGACCATGTCGTCCCCGAGTTCCCCCGCCACCTCATCCAATTTTCTCAGGATCTGTGTCTTGTTACTTAGAGCGCGAAAGGTCCTAAATAGTTGTCACGGCGCAGATCTGACGAAAGGGACATGACGCTTGCCTTTCTGCACCAATGCTTTTCCTCTCTTCTCGTTGAATAGGTTGTACAACATTGGATGCGACGCCGAGATATGTTCTCAGTAGGAATACGAGGCCAAACTGCTTGTCCATTAATTGCAGCGTCGCTCTATGTTTGAATATATCACCACATGTCTATGCAAAATCAGTGCATGTTCAATGCAGAATTATGAGTACTAACCTTAATGCCTAGAGCCTCAAGAAGACGCTCGTTGACACGTCCTACCCCGGGCACCTTGCGGATTGAGAGATCGTACATAAAAGCTTTGATAGAAGTGCAGTCGAACGGCAGATGATACTGGCCATTCGGCTTGTTCTGTGGCAGAATTCAGCGCTGATACCTAGTTTCTCAACGTTCTTAAAACCTTGTCTGAGCATATCTAGAAAGCACAAAAGTTCGATCAGAAAAAAAAACCAAAATAAGTTCTTGAACGACCTTTGCTAGCATCTGGGGACCGTAAGCTATGGCATCGTTGAAAAGAAAAAACAATGCGCACCTTGTTCGGAGCGATCCCAGCGCTTACTGTCAACGATGTCTCCCTGAAGACTGTGTCACGGATTTCTTGTACGCAGGTATTCGCATCTACCATGTGTTCCTCGCAATATTTTGTGATGCTGAGTAAACAGACTATTAGCACCGACACGCTCAGATATAGTTGTCATGACAGACTTCAAGTACCCTTCATCGCATCCGGCCGCGAGCATAGTAGGATCATATCTCTCGAAAATGTCCATGACCGTATCAGACATTTCTGAATAACGTTCGAAATTAGATTTCAGGAGAATGAGGTCGGGGCAGAGCTTCTTGGCGACGAATGCTAAAAGGACTGCAGTGAGAATGATATAATGAGATACAGCAAAATTAGACGGACTCGCCATCCCGGAGCGCACGCCGAATTTACGCGCCTCGTAGGAAGCGGTAGAGAGCACCCCGCCTCCAACCTAAGGAGATATAGCTCACGATACAATGCGGTACTAATATGACATTGGAAGCTCACGGCAAATGGCTTTCCTTGCAGCGATGGGTCATCAAGTAGCTCAACGCTGCAGTAAAATGCATCCATGTCAACATGTACCACGATTTGACTCAAATCGCGTTGCGATTCGAGTTTTTCGAGCTATAACGTGGCTTGTCTCAATAGTCTCCCTGAGCTTTAATTGCTGCTCACGAGGTGGTCAATGTTTTTCTCAATTGGACCTGGTAAGGCATCGAATCCAACTTTCACTTGAGGTGGATTGATTCACGCACGTATATCGACGCCCTGCAGGGCTTCGTCACGTTGCTTCAAAATTCTGGCAATGCGTTCCGATAATTCCTTGTCTTTGAGCTTTTCATTCTGAAGTTCTTTCTGAGTGATGTGCCAGGGGATGACTCGAACGACATGGACTTACCTCATAGAACTTGGAGCCCTTCGAAGCCTCGGCAATTATGCGATTAATCGCAGTCTGATCATGAGTGAGGCTACGAACTGTCAAATGTCTTTTGAAGGTGCAAGTATTATTTGGAGGTGACAAACCCGGCTTTCGTGGAGGAGGGACCAGCTAATCGTTTGAGTAGACTGACGGAGTCTTGAGATGGTTTAAGTGGTTTTTCTGGCTCCATAACACGTCGAGTTAGAGAAATAGACAACAAGTTCGCGTTCGCCGTGTGGTTCTGTTCAGTGTTAGGTGCCACTGTAAGGTTCAGTTATTGTTGTGGCTATGTAGCTCCTGAGAAGCATTACGCGATAAACAATCATTCACAGGTCGGCGCTGCCAACACGGCGGTGTTCTCTTGACTTGAGCTAGGCTTGCCGAGTAGAACGATTGATGCATATATGCCTCATGACCAGTTTGAGACGATCAAGGGAACGACTACATGTAGCCCTACTCAATCTTATTTCGTGACGGATTCAGAAGCAACACGTTCGGCACGCTCATAGCGGCGCTTGAAATCAGTTAAGCGAGAGCGCAGAGTCTCGACTATGCTTACTGCGCAGACGTCGCTACTACCATGGCAGATAGTTCCCCGCACGCCATAACGTTCCACGAAGCACTTCTGCCCCGTCGACTGATCGTACACGGGTAGCACACTTTCTGGGGTGTTGTGATGACCGTGTGCACTTTCTTGCTAGTCCATCAGCTGAGATGTCGAGCACTAAGTACTTTTCGGTTGCTGAACGGACTCTAAGTTAGTAACCTTGATAAACGTTCGACGTTCATTGACTGGCAGAACACTGCTTTTTATTCCAGTGTAACGAAATTCTTTCATATTTATATCTCACGTTATATCGTGGTATCTTCTGCATCAGTCCTCTGGCGCGTGAATCAATTACAATCACCATCTACCACAGTGCCCTGCCATTTTCTCCCGCATCAAATTTACGTGGCCTGCAGTGATATCTGCTCATTTTTTGTGGTGAGTACTGTAATCACCGCTACTCACATTAATTCACTCCCTGTTATGATCCAACTCAACACACAAGGTATCAAGTTGCGAACTAGCCAGGTATATTAGGCAAGGTCAAGTTAGAGAATACATGAAGTATCTACAGGTCTTATATACGAGTATTGAAGCGGAGCTACAATGTAAACGTCCAATAGGAATAATCATAGAGAAGTTGTACGGTAGAAGGTCGTGGAATGTGATGGAATGTTCTGTGATACGTGAAGGTGTGAAGTGTGCATATGTGAAGTGTGAAGGTGTGAAATGGTGAAAAGTGCCAGTGTGAAAGGTGACACTGTGACAAAGTGAAGTGGAGGGTAGGAAACTGTAACATTACCCCCTTTCTAAACTCTGTTCTCCTGAACAACTAATTCAGCCAGCCATCTACTGAGAAATTAGGTAGGAAAAAGTCCAAAGTATCGTAAAAAATAAATTTCTATGATAAGTCCATGTCCGAGTAGGAGTCGCCATTCTTCTTCATCTGCGATACGTCGTTAGACACTCCTCTCTTGAATCATCAATCATGGCTCTTCCGCCATGTCCTTATGGTGCTCCTTCAGAGCCTATTCTATATATCTCTTTACCTCCATTCTAACCATCTGTTAAGATAGCATCTTTCCCACAAGATGGAACGAAAGATAAAAACTCCATTAGAGTTTCTAGAAGTCATAAAAAAATTTCTGGTTTTTTCTGGTGTTTTTGTCGTATGTTCGTATTTTTCAAAGTCTGAAATCTGGGTTTCAATTTGTATCACCGGTTTTCTTCTGGGTCCTGGGTCAATTTGTCATCGGTTTTCTTCTGGTCCTTAAGTTCAATTTCCTTCCTCGTAGTTTTATTCTACTTTAAGATCAATTTAATTACTAGTTTTCTTCTAGTTCAGGATAGGTCCCGTCATTGGGCGCCTATGGTCAATTTGTCCCACGGTTTTATTCCACTGTCCTTTCCCGTT